GGGGGCGGGGGGGGCCCAAGGGGGGGGGGGGAGTGTCACTCGGGCAGTCCCAGCTGCACACCATGCAGCAATACGTAACACATGCTACCTTGTGCAGCCTGACTGTGTGGCACGTGGACTCAGCAGGCAGCTCCAGGGCACGCTGGGGATCCTGATGCTCACACATGTCCTGCCCAGGGGAAGGCAGGGGGAATGCCAGCAGGAAGGAGCCAAGCCCCAATGGTGCAGGCCAGACCCCACACATTCCGAAGGGTGCCGCACACAGTACACAGCCATGCCTGCCCATGTGACACAGCAGCTGTTCCTGGGAAAAGCACAGTGAGCCAACCTTGTGAGTGTGGCCCCCACAGAGCCCCTTGGCTGCTCCCGGCCACTAGACTGCCCCTGAGGGAATCCCCCCACTGCGGCCACACACTTCCCTGGGCTACTTATCTGATGGCTGGGGGCGGGGGGGAGAGGAGGGGAAGCAGGCAGCCCGGGGCCTCTGGCCCACTGAGTCTTGCTGCAGGGATACTACACTCCCAGTTGCCCTGGCTCCGTCTCTGAGGAAATCAATTGACAGTAGTCCAAGAACCCAGACCTCATCTGCCACACTTGCTCCCATGTAATGTAGATGTGTACTCAAACATGACTACAGCATCATGGTGTATGCTCACAGTGAGAAGAGTAGAAACCAGTTGCTCTACCTTTGGGAGTGTACACAGTGCTAGACAGACAGACACAGCATGCCCAGTGGCTAGGACACAGACAAGGGGTCTTCATTCACAGTGATGTGTCCCAGTGTAACAATCCATGGAGGATCACTTCACTCCCAGGATTTTTAACTAGTCCTTATGTGAACAAACACAGGGGATTGACTGGGCCCAAGCCACATTTGCGTGGTGTCATGTGAGGCTCAGGGAGGAGGGCCCGGGGCTCAGGGACACTGTGGGCAGGGCTGACTGACCGCCTCGCTGTCTTTTGTGTTCTCTGCAGCGGGACCAGCCAGGAGTGAGTTTCAAATTCAAATCCCAGGCTTCATT